CGGAGAGTTGAAAACAGTCCGTAAAATATATATGTCTTTGGGGAAGTTTGATGGTAGGTGATTTGGGAAGATATGGTAATTCAATTGGCTATTTGAAATATTCGACTTTTTATGCAAAAGTCTCAGCTTCTGAGAAACAAAACATATCGCGAGATAATCGCACTCAGGACCTCATGGAAAAAAGTCAGCAGGAACTAAAGCGAACTCGTTTAAACAACAGACGATTTAAACGTCTTGACGAGATTGCTATAGTTTATGATGAACTCCATGACTCTCTGATTAGGGAATATGAAGATAATTTGATTGTTTGTTCAAAAAAAAGTAAAGTTGAAAACAATGACCAAATTGACTAAGAAATTGAGAAATGGAGTAAACGATCCCGAATTCAGGGTAAAGACAAATGTAAAGGAGTGTATCTTCAGCCCCCATTAGACCTCTAAAGATGTTTCGCCCTCAAGAACTTTCTAGTAACGATAGCTCAATTCTAATAAAAGCTGACGAAGCGTCTACTACACAATCTATGATGTTGCGGTTCGTTTCATCTCGGTATTCTGAAGTAGACGGGTTGCAAAGCACGACTTTTTATACAGCGCTATCTGGCCCTAAAGTGTATGTTCCTTCTGAAAAATTTGTTCAAATTTTATTTGTGCACGAAAATCACTGGGTAACAGCATCAAATATATTCACCCCCGACCACAATACTATACAGATTTATGATAGCTCCTATATGAAGTACAATGAAAGTGACAAATATGCGATTTCGCTTCTTATGCGGCCAAGGCAAGGAACAAATAAAGTACAAATTGAATTCCCCGTTGTCCAGCAACAAACTTTAGGTGCATCATGTGGCCCATTCTCGATTAGTTTTTGCATAGCCCTATGTAACAAAATACGACCAGAGCATATCCTATTTGACGAGAAAAATCTTAGGAAGAAATATGCGATGGTATAGTCTCTAGGGATGGGACGAGTCCGGCATTACAAAGATTCGACGAATCCGAGTAATAGGTCAAGGACTCGAATCGAATCTGCCGAGTCCGTGACGTCATAATGGAATAGCACAAAAACGTGTTTTAGACCATGCTACAGCATCGTGCGCTCACAAACATACGTCGTAGCTCATATTTTTTGCCTAATGGTTCCGCAGATAGCTGTTGAGTCATTTTAAATATATATTTTTTCTCTTTTTAGGCGGCCATAATACAAACGTAAACGTGGTCAATGTGCGCCTTGGCTGTGAACTGGATTTCCAGCCCACCTTGCGTCAATTCTGGGCAGATATTCAGAAATTCTTACATGTCAACATGAACAATAAAAAGCGTTCGACTACAATGCTTTCCCATAATTCCAAATATTTCTAGCCGTAAATTTACTATGTCATGTGCGCATATGGTAGAGAAATACCACTCGTCGTCAATACAATGTAGTACATCTACTTGCAATTTAGTAGTTCATCTAAACGTTCTAAAACTCTCCATCCTTTCCATTGCCTTTTTAGCGAAAGGATTCCACGCAATAAACTCGATTTAAAAGAGGTATTGATGAGATTCCCTATTGGGTAGATCCAGAACATGTTTCATTTTTACGCAAATCAAAAACTCAAAAATATTGCAATACCACATATTTTATTGTGTACCACATGTATACCAAAAAGAATAGATAGTTTGAAGGCGACTGGCGCAACATCATTGCTATGAGCGATCAATAGTTTTCAACTATCATTATATTATCTGGATATCTGTCGTCGTTTTTTTAGGAGTGTTTATATTGCACACGAAGGATATTGTTACAGATCTAACCTTGAATTTTACTAGTTAAGGTATGTAGTGGGATTAATAGAGGCAAAAGTACAAACATAGGCGTAAATTAGTAAAAACAGAATTGATTATGGACTCGGTAAAAACGACGTGGACTCGAAATCGAATCCGATTCCAAAAAATGCCTGGATTCGACTCGAATCCGAGTCCGGATCCGAATCCCGGCCCATCCCTAATAGTCTCTTAAAATTTTTCGTCGGTATTTAACATCAACAAGAAACGTGTTATACCCGCGCCCAGGCGATTGGAAATTCCGATTTTTTGCAACTGCCAACTGTCTTACATTGAAAATCAGACCATGATCGAATGCACTTCATGTTTGAAATGGTACCATCCGAAATGTTGTAGTATTCCAGTGCCAGTTGAGGCACTGGAAAACAGCGAAATAGAATGGAATTGCAAAAAGTGCATTCGATGCTAAATTACATGCAAAGCAATATTCAACTAGATATGATCATTCACATTCTCATTTTTTTAGGTACATCGTTCAAGTCAGACGAAGGATCAGTCTGTTTTACCTATTTGGCTTAACATGCCCTTTGCCAGGTTTTTCTCTCTTGGTCTAGTCTATAATATTGAGATGAAAACCGCCACGATGGTTGGCACCTTGACGTGGTGTGGTGGCTTTCTACTAAGATCAACCATTTAAAAATTTTTTTTAAATATAAGATAGATCCCCGGTATGAAAGAACGAGATGATTTCACAATTCGTTTATGTTATCTTACTTAAATTGAGGCACGCCATTATAATGTATACAGTATCCTGGGTTGTGATAGCGTTGTTTATTAATTTTAAGTCGGATTCTTGTTTGGGCCATGTTTGACAAGATATTATTATATGTTCCCGACATACAATTTTTCTCAAACTTGGTTCGAGGTTACTTCACAATATGTTCTTTTGGGATATTTTATTCAAAAGTGGGGCACGTAATCGAGAAGTCCAAAATTTGGGGTTGAAATACTGATATTTATTAATTTTGATGTAAAATTCCTGTTTGGGCCATGTTTAACAAGATATTATTATATGTTCCCGACATACAATTTTTCTCAAACTTGGTTCGAGGTTACTTCACAATATGTTCTTTTGTGATATCTTCTTCAAAAGTGGGGCACGTAATCGAAAAGTACA